GTGTTACAATTGGTGATAATGAAAGAGAATCAGAAAAAATGCCGCCTTGACAGACAGCAATGAACATTGAATACCAATCTGCTAGTGATTTACTGAGGAAGATGATTAATTTTGAAACACGTAACTTGCTGCAAAGCAATTCGATCATTTTCTCAGAGATACTGATGTATGCAATCTATACTAGTTCTGTTGGTATATGAATGATCTCCCTTTCTTCTCACTAAAACGTATACATAAATAATTGGGAGATTCGCGGAGACCTTACAATAAAATTTCAGCATTCAACCCATACTGAAATGCTATTACAGGACACAATGACATACTGTAATGTGAAATACAAATATTAAACTGTCAAAGTTTGCAACACTGAAGTTAGTGCTCTAACCCTTACCTGGAGAATACAGTAAGTGGATCAGAGATCCAGCCTATCAAATGTGAGGACACACAGTTCTCTTTCAAAATACTGTTAAGGCTCTTGTGAAAAATATATACTGTGCATATAAATATATACTGTGTCCCAAACAGCTGTCAGGAACATTAACCAAAACAATTTAAGATCTATTAGTATAATAACAAAAGTAAGGTGTTAAACAAAGTCCCCAAGTTCAGGATTTCTTTCTTAAAGTTTCCAAAATATGCATCAGTAATTACACACAAATTCAAAACATATTTAATGAAACATTACAAAATTCTGTGCTAATGTTGACCACTTGTTAAATAAAATGTAGTCATTGGAAAGGTGATGGAACTCTGGGTAAGAAAACAGGGATTCAATACAGCGAACAGTTGAGTGAAAAACATATAATATTAACAACTCCATTAGTTAACTTGCTCTAATGTGTTGCTATGATACTATCAGGGCAGTTGTTCATTTTCATATTTTATTGATGTGAATGACTGAAAATGGAATCAAAGGGTTTTACTGACTGAAACTCACCTGTCATAAAATCTTGACTCATAGTTACAGGTTCAAAGGGTGACTCTCATGTAAAAGCAAATGACATCTGCTCAGTTATAGCATATACACAGTTTGTCAGAGAGAGCTTGAAGATCCAGAGCATTTGCATCAAAAACAAAAATGAAGACACTTTACTTTGTGCTTTATTTCATCGTGATTGTTCAAGCTTCATCTGAAAGTGAGTAAAATTCTTTTCGTTCTCAATTTCATCTATAAATTCAGATTTGATCATGCAGATTTCTAGCAAGTAATATCATTTTCTGTTCACAAGGATTAAACATTAAATTTAATACATTAAATAACTGTGTGATTCTATTGAATATAAATACATATGGTTTTATTCACAAGTACAAGGTATTCATAGGAAGAACATGCAAGTTCCTGTAAATTAGAAATAATTTGATTTACCTTTGTAAAATGTATTCATGTCACAAATTAAAAAAAGTTCCCAGCATGATCTAACCAAGATCTGGACAAACTATTGAAGTTATTCCTAGAGTACCATTTCTCATAGTCAAAAGCACATGATATATATTTTTTTTCTTTTTCTCATTTGTCAGATTGCACTCAACCAAAAGAGGAAGGTATCGGAGATAAACAAGATTTAACATTTTACTATGATACAACAGCTGGCAAATGTTTACCATTCTATTACAAGGGATCAGGGGGCAATGATAATCGTTTTAACTCAGACAGAGAATGCATGAAAGCCTGCTCATTGGAAAAAGAAGATCTGTACCCAAGTGGAAGTAAGTACAGCCTACCAAGAGCCTGTGATTTTAAGTACAGTATATTTATCCTGACTTGAGACTAATACCTGGACAAAATCTAACAGTGTGCAAGTGTATGATTCCATTCTCTTTTACATGTGACCTCTTCCTTCTGTCCAAAACAAGGAAATGTTCCTCCATTAAGTGAAAGGCAAGTAATTTCCAATGCATGGGTAGGATTCTCACGTGCTGAGGAAAATGCAATTATAAAATGATCCCTCTGCCAAGGTCTTTGGAAGCAGAAATATTTCATTCAGAATTGATATTGAAACTGAGAGAACGAGGAAAAGACATTCACCACTTCAGTTGGTTTGGAGGTTTTATATCATAAGGATAATTAAAGAGAAAGTCAGTTCATAAATTCAAATATAATACATTTATTTTTGGTATGGGTGGTATTGTGGCAGAAGGCTTGCATTGCTGGTTCCAGTTATGGGGCCCTGGGTTCAATTCTGGACCTGGGGTGCTATCTGCATGGAGTTTATATGTTCTCCCTGTGTTCATGTGGATTTCTACCTGGTGTTCCAAGTTCCTCCCACAATCCAAAGACGTACTGTGAGGTTAATTGGATTCTGGGAAAATTGGTGTGAGTGTGTTCATGTCTTATATTTGTTTGTGTGTCTGTGCACCCTGCAATGGACTGGCATCCTGTCCAGGGTGTAACACAACGTACGCCCATAGCTTGCTGAGCTAGACTTGGGCTTCACCGCGACTCTCTATTTGAATTAAGTGGCTAGAAAATGGATGGATATGTGGATTTTTGTTATGATTGTCTTTTACTTTATTGTTATGTGTTCACCCAATATGGAATCAGCAGCTGTGTCTGTACACAGTACAAACGCCCAGTGTGACTATATGGATGAAGCAGTACAGGCTCCTCTGGTCTGTCTGCCCATTGGTCATCTCTGCAGTGCAGGAGGGTCCTGAATGAGGGTGAGGCACGTGCTTTGCTGAAGTCACTACTAGGCACCAGATTCCTAGGACATCACTGATTTACCAAGTGCAGGGAAAGACGAAGCATCATGCTCATCCCTAATCTAAGGCAACATTCATCCAGTTATTGTACAGTACAGTATGTGCTACAGCTTGAGGAAGTGTCACACCCAGGGTCACACTATGGATGAACATTCTGACACCAGCTCACAGAAGGTTTGCTTACTCATTGAGAACATACTGTACCTGAAAGTTCATTGAAACTCATTGAGAATGTCCCTGAACGTTTTCTGATTGATCAATGCCCACGCTTAGTAGCAGGAGAAATATTGAAGGAAGAATGTGTTGAATTATTGCTGTGTCATATTTTTTTTAATGTGCATTCTACATTTTACAGTGTACAATCTATATTCTACAAATCCTTTTAAGCTTTTCACGTCAAAAACACTTTTTTTTAAATTATTTTCCAATTGTTCTTCTGAAGGCAGGTCTTAAAGTGCGATTTTGATATCCAATGGTACCGACGGTGTTGAGCAGCTGCCTTACTAAACAATGGGAATGTAATCTTGTGATGGTGCTTGTCACAATTCTAGCTACACTTTTATCTTAAAAACACACACATGAGTCAAAATAATCAGTGCCTATATTAAGATCTTATTTTTCATGTCCTGGTAAAGTTAGATTTGTGGTGCTTTTCTGATTTACCCAATTTTTTATTTATCCATTGATTAAAAGTTTGTTTTTATATTTTTATATTTATAAAACATATATTTAAAACAATCATGACACTTTGTAACAGATTACATTATTTCATTCTTTTTTTGCAGAAATTATTAACTTTAAAATTCAGTGTAACCTATTTTTCCTAACTAATCTCCAACCTAATTTGTTAATCAGAAATGTAAGAACAGCTCTAGTTTTAATGTGACGTTTTATATTTCTCTTTGAATTCAACATAATACTAGAATATTTCTCCTGTCTTTCCTACCTTTTCTAATCTGGGTATTTCTCAACATCGTGCCCTCCTCATGTTTGCACCAGTTATAAGACTTGGAGATAAAAACTTTTTCTTTCCTTTTTCTTTTCCACCCAGGGGCAGTTTGTGAAAAGCCGATGGATCCTGGAATGTGTTTTGGCAGGACCCCCATGTTTTACTATGACTCAAAAGAAAAGATCTGCAAGTCCTTCTTCTATGGAGGCTGTCAGGGAAATGGGAACCGATTTCAGAGTAAAAAGGAGTGTAAAGAAACATGCCAAGGTCAGCATTAATTAATTACATTAGTTTCTTGATACATTACTTGATCTTATGTATCATTACTTTCATATTTCTGAGCAGTACTAGTATATAGAAGATCACAGTGTTTGTATAGAATATTTTGTAAAGTTTATCTTGTAGTGTAATTATTTTTTTAACAAAGAATACAAAATACAACCATGGTAAACCTGCAGTCTAAACTTTTAAGATTTAACATTTAAGATTTAAAATTTAACAGATAAGGAAAGTTTCTAAAATACACATGAAAACATTTCAAAATATACTGTAGGTTCAAAATGACGTGCTTTTTTTACCATCTTTCAAGTAAAATTATTGAAGTCCCTTCTTGCCTGGGAATGTAAGGTCTTTAAAACACAGTCTAATTTAACACTCACTTACACACTTCATCTTATTTCAGGGATGTTAACTAAAATGGCTGTTGTGTCAACATGCTGGTTTACTTTTCAGTAATCACTGTTGATGAAAGGAGTGACTATTGCTCTGCGCAGAAAACCAAAGTTAATAAATAGCAGAAACTCCCATTGTGCAAAACCAAAACTCAAAGGTGAACATTTGAGCACAGGAGTTATAATTAAAAGACCGTCTGCTTATTTGTGATGGGACAGTGTGCCATATTTGCATCTTTAATACATCTGCATGTTTTATATTGGGTGAAATTTAAATTAAAAAAGCAAAACAACAACTAAATTAGTGTATCAATTCTGTAGCAAAGGCTAGGAAAAAGAATTGTACACTGTGTTGTGTTACAGTGTTTGCCCTTGCCTTGCTATAGTATGTGTGATGTATTCACCTCCCATCCATAAGCGACATTTTACAGACAAGATGAATATTTAAGGAAAAACGCATGATATTTGTAAATTGAATACAGTAAAATAAAACTATTACTCCTGTAAAAAACTTAACACATAAAATACATTTGTGTCATAGGTCTGTTTTTAATCAGGGAAAAAGTCCCAAATCTTTTTTTGCTCTCATTCTGGGTTCTGGTTTTAAGCGTTTGTGATCTACAATAATCACTATATTGAGTTTCCACTAGGTGGCTACTCTGTTCTTGATTCCACAAGTTAATTTCCTTGTTTTTTAACAGCAATATCAGGAAGATCTGGTGTGAGCGGGACAGAAGAACCTGAACCAACCTCTGTAAATCTAGGTAAATTCTACACATAAGGAAATATAACATTTTCTGCTTGAAATTAAATGGCTCCATTTTGTTTGCAATTTCATTCCAAAACTTGTAACTGTATTATTAGTCTGAATGGGATTTTCAAGCGTGGTCTGCAGATCCCTTTGGTTCCTTAGACACTGTTCATGGAGTCCCCAATAAAGAAAGTGAACTTCTGCACTTGAAGATTGGATTTGGGCCTCAGTATTCTCAAATTGTGGGTCTGGATCTAATAAGTTGTTCAGCAGGTGTGGAGACCCTCTGCCTCAGTGTCCTGGTTTTTCAGGACCAGTTTATTGATTTTTGTAGCATTATATCTCCTTCTCCAAGCAACTTCTGAGAGAGGACATCTCCAGTAATGCTGAAAGCAACCAGAGGATCTTCCTTACTCAAGCAGGACCTGGTGATAACCTACCTGCTAGCCTTTTAGAATAACGTTGTGTTACTTTAAAAAAAAGTTTGCATCAAAATCTTATTGAGCTATGGATGTAAACATTTTCATTGTGCATAAGTACAGTACATTGTTATAGGAAATGATGAGTAATTATGAATTAGGGCGAGTGAAACAAATTGAATCTGACTGCTGTCATCCCTCCAGACTTTAGTTGTAAACTACATTTGTACAAGAAGAGCACAGTAGAACGTTTAAAATCATAATGAGGTGGGAAAGTACTTCTAGAGATTAATTTGTTTTTGTTGTTTTTACCCTTCCAGGACTTGCAGTAGGAATTGTAGGTGGAGTCATTTTTGCAGTGGCACTCATTTCTCTCATAGTTGTTACTGTTCTGCAAAGGTAAGATTCACATAATTTGTTACTTATTCAGACATAATAGATATGAAACATAGGTATACGTAGGTATATTTTGTCCATTGACATCACCAAGGAGGAATTAACAGCTCTTTCCCATTTAAACAAACTGAGACTTGCTGAGACCTGCTGTCCATGGCTGCGAACATTGACTTTCTATTTGCAAAATGTAGTAATCATAAGTCTTAAGCCAGTCTGTATATATCTTACTGACATTTGCAATTATGAAAGGGCATTCATTCAGTTCATTCATTATTAAATTGAATGAATTTATAAATAAAGTTTCAAATGATGGATGCATATGCTTTTTTGTCATACTGTAATCTTACGATGAATCTCAAAGCGCAATAACATACTGTAACACGTCACAATGCTTTCTAGGAAGAAGAAAAGAACACGCAAACCTGTACCAACAGAAGTAGAGATGGCATAAAAAGAGCATGGAACAGAAGTCAAAAGGATTTTTATACTGTGTATTTGTGTGACAAGCTACAGTAAATGCTAATATTTTAAATTTTATCTTTTTTTAATTTGAATACTAACCTGACCTCTAAAAGGCAGTTTTAGATTAAATTGTAGTTACTTTTTTGCCAAAAGTGTTGCTTGCATTGTTGATTGTTTAGACATTAATAGCTTCTTCATTAATCATTATACAGTATGAACACTCACATCTATTGTTACACAAAACCACACTGGAGGGTTAAAGCAAGCACTACTCCAACAGAAACAGTTATAAATGTACAGTAATACAGTACTTTTTTATGGTTCAGTTATTAGTTGAATCAGATTAATGCAAATACTTGTGTTACAGTATATCTCAACCCATTTAAATCTCTCGACATTTAATTGTCTTCCTGCTCGGTGAAATGGGTGAGTTTTCTTTTCCATAATTTATACTTGTTCTGCTTAGAAAGAAAATAAAAAAAACATTTTGTTCATTTGTTTCTTTTCTTGAAGATTTATGAGTCTTAAGATTGCTTTCTTTTTTTGCAATTGAAGATAAGGATTCGAATTTACAAGTGGGTCTCAAGAAGCAATATTTATTTGCAACACATCTTCA